GAAACTGTATTGCACTTCTGTATTGTCAAGTTTTTCTTCAACTACCTTCATTGAGCTTGAACTTTCTTCCATCATGGATAATGCCTTGGTTATCTCTTTCTCTACTAAATCAGATAACTGTGAAGGTATATCCCAGGGTAACATTTTTGGCAGCATCAGATGGCCAGCCTCAACATCGAACAGCAGGGACCCATACATCTCTTCCATTTTTGTATCTGCATAGACGAATCTATGATTGTTTTTCCTTTCTATATGAAAACTCTCAAGAAAGAAAATTATATTGGCCAAAATAATAAATGGGAAGAATCATGTGTATGTCTATTAATCTGTTACAGCAAATTCAAGTGTCCAACTTATATTCTAAATAGAGAAATTCACTCAAGGAAACGTCTATTGTCTTGAATAAATGGTAAAACCAACGTACATTCACGTTTCATAAGTTTGCTTCTAAATAAATTAGAGGTGGAAGTCATTCTTAAAATCCACCCCCTCCTTTTTCCTTATTTGATACTCCTCGATCACTTTGTTTGCAATAAAACCAAATCTAGAACTTGTCTATCCTTAACGAAAGGGAGGACTGTGAAGTTACTAGTAGAACTAGTTTCTCTAAGAATTCTAGACAGTAATGTAATATAATGATTTAGTTCTTCTTGAGAAACTAGATGTGGTCAGCCCATAACAGGTGGATCCTCTTTTTCCTCCTAACCTTATTATCTTGTCTCATTCTTCTATGTAGATGTCATCTGTATAATAAACAACTCATGTCAAGTACTACACAAGTTAATTCATATGCCTAAAAGTTGCATGGCTGTTCACAGAATTCCACAAAATCTTAACAGAATAGTTTGAAATATATAGATCTAACTACAAGTAACATGTATGTCTAACCTTTTCTAAAACTTCTACCCTGGCACCAGAACTGAAGATGCATAATAATTTTTCGTATATCTCCCCGACAACACTCAATAAGTCGCTCAAGTAAATAAGGTTGTATGTTGGCTCTCTCCGCAGCACAAACCTGCAGAACAATAACAGAATGAGTTTAAAAACATATAGATTTCAAGAGTTCCACAATGGGAAAGTTGATCCAGCAAATGAAGCACATACCATATATGCATGGGAATGCAGCGCCTTTGATGATGGCAACATGAAATGCACTTTTAGTCTGTCAAAACTGTCTGGCAGGACCGGATTTTGACCTAGAATTACCACAATTACAATAAGCCCCCTTACATTTCAAAAAAAAAAAAAATTCAAGGAGTGCAACTCTTTCAACCAGTAAACCCTCTTACTATTGCTGGTCAATATTATAGGCCCCTTGGCTGTTTTAGCTATCTGTTGAATTGCTGCAAGAAAACCACGATCTTCAAGAAAAGTGATGTCTACATCCTCAAAAAGTATGAGATGTTTAACTTTGCTCTGATCCTCCTTATAGTCAGATTTTACAGAGGTTTCAGTAGCATCATGAGAATCTTCATCTGATATGGGTATCAATTCAACGGCCTCATCATTAAACTCATGGTCTGTCATACCATTAGCCTCAACAAACAGAGATTTCACAATATGTCGGTTCTGTGGACCCATAGGATTTGCCACTGATCTGAAAGAAAGAAAATTATTAATTAATATTTTTCAAATCATCATCAACAAATAATGATGAAGGCCAACTATCAACATGATTTACAAGCAAAAGTTCACAATGGCAGGCAATCTCTTATTAAAACATATTTTTCTTTCTGACTAAATATATCAAATATATTCTGAAAAGATACATTCATTAAATATGCAACATAACAAAGAATTTCCAGAACAGACAAGAAGCTAATTTAGGAAATAAGAAAGCCCAACCACTGATAAGACATCGTAAATGCCCTCAAACCAAACTGAATGTTTTCAAAGGAAAGAGAAAGAGTACAAGCATCGTCACTACTTCCAACAGAAAATTTCTAACTTGTTAAGAGTCTCCCCCAAGCGAAAGTCTTATTTCACAAATCAAATTATCAAAACACAATGCCTTTGTCGATGGACTCACTCTAAAAAATCAGTTATGAAGGGAAAAATTAGTAAGAACTCTATGTAAGGATCTTCAAACAAATATATCAATCTCAGTGGCAAAAACCAAAGGACATTGTGATCACCACCAAAGACAACAAAGAGGTGAATTTTGCCACTCCTATTTTGGTTGATGAATAATCATACAGATGCAGTAGATAAATTTTCATTCTGGGCATTAGCAGCTTTGGAGTTGGAATTTGGAAAGTAAGCTTTTCTGTAGGATTTATGAAGGACACCCAGACAAGCGTTTATTTCTTAGTTATCACACTCACAAAGTTGAGGGCAATCAAGGCTTTAGAATATAAACATCAAAGAGTGATCTTAATGGTTCTGGGACTAAAAAACTTCCTTGGACAACTAAAAAACTTCCTTGGACATAAGAAACATGGAAATCAAGGAAGTACATGCTTCAATAAAAGGCAATCATCCAGCTAACAAACGTGCAAAACGAAAAAGAAAAATAAGTAAACAAGCACTTCTAAACATAAAAAGGCAAACCTTCTAAGATGGCGAGATTTCAAAGCCTCTCCAAACCTCTGTTTCACAAGAGCTCCATTCCGACACTCTGATGCACTGAGCTGGTATGACAACATATAATCAAATATAGTGTCAAAACTATCAAAATACAAAACAGATAGTGTCTTAAACACAAGTCATTAGAGAAGGTGGAAAGGATGAGTTATCAATAGGATTATGAAAAATACAAATTTATAAATAAACCCAATCCTAGACATATATTTATAAAAAAACCCAAGCACTATTTAAACATAGAAACACACCCAAAATCAATCCCAAAATCAACAATTGTATATTTTTTGGGTGTGTTTATAAATGGGTTTTGAGTGTATGTAATGATGGGTTTTGGGTGTGTTTATAAAGTGTTTTGGGTGTTGTTTTTTATAATTTCAGCCCCTATTTTGGGTGTTTTAGTGAAACTCCCTATGAAAAAATACTGTCAAGTTCAACTACATGTATTAACCAAAACAGAAAAAGAAGAAAATGTCTTGTGATTGCAGGATGAAACATTTAGGAAATTGCCTCAAGTTCGACATACATCAGCCAGAAGGTTAATTTCGTTGTTTGGATGGGACGCTAAACTATTTTATTTTTTTGGGTCTGAACAGTAAACTTTACTTCATCGAAAAATGACCTAACCACAAGCATCATTGTCACGTGTTCTTACATCCGACTGACAGCCATCTTGATATATTTCTAGATATAACAATGGTTAGTTTATTATAAGGAAAGAGAAATGGGGTAAACCAAAACCATTAAGGACGTCTTCTCTCAAAATCCCAAATTCTAGTCATAACTCATCCAATGATCCAATCTTTACAATTAGATGTAAATCTTACACTTAATTTTGGGACTGGATATCCACAAACTGACATTCCATGGTCAAACATAAAAGTGGCATCTAGAAAGCGGTAAGAACCAATGAAACCTTAAGTATATGACAAGGTGGTCAGCAGATTAGATGAAGAGTACTTTAGGCTGACTTGACAATATGCTATTGTTTATCTCTTATTAGTACTATGGATACCACACCACAACTAACTTTCTCTCTTTCTCTTTTAATCAGCATGATTATGATAAATTATCACAACAAAATCTTGGTCCAATCAACAGTTAAATACATGCCAGGATATGAAAAATCAATAATAGTTTAATAATGGAGAACTGCACTATCTTCAGCAACAATCATATTTAAATTTCTTTACCTCCAAAACCTTAAACCCTTGCTCTTGTGCACAAGCATAGATAGCTGCAGACTTTCCACTCTGCAAGATGAGAAACATACACTTTACCCACAAAAATTTAACCAAAAAGCATCAGCATCAGCATAGAATTTGTCTTTTTTGTATGCTTAATGAGTTCTGTGATGGTAGCAAAGCCACCTCATGGCAAATGTTGAGGGTAAAGATGAAACTAGGATCCAGAATAAAGATGCTAGCCCCCAAAACAATATTACTAGAAGGATTATCCGCAAAGATAATATCAGTTCAGACACAAGAAAATATGAATTAATTAAAGGCCCCATAATGATGCATTTGGATATTCGGTGGCAAAAAATCATGAATAGAAACAAGAATTAGGTCACAAATTTCAAGTGGATCAAGGGGATAATATAAATTTGTATATACCCCAATTGGCCCTGTAACTAGGAGAACATTATTTTTCTTCATGCTAGCCTCTTCATTTTCGCTTTCTAAATCAGAGTCACTTTGGGAACATCTATAGTCATTATATTGCCTGTCACAGTTACCACTACCAGTGGGATCTTCACTGGCTCGAAAATCTCTTTTGTACCAAAGACGAAGCCACTCGCTCAAAAAATTCACAGATTCATCATTACCACATACCTGCAGGATCATGTCATTAGAAGATCAGAATCAGAGTGATAATGGGAAATCGAAGGGACAAAGGCATTTTCTTATCTACATTTAGGAAATAAAAAAGAAGTCTGACAGTAGAAACTTTAAAGTGAACGGGACATGTATGTCCATAAAGAATATATGGGTCCCAGATTTCTTACATCCCTAGCCTTCATTGGACGGTACTTGTATGTCCATAAGCAATCCTTAGGCTGATTACCACAACTGGAATAGTTGGACATTACCCTGAAATTTAATGAACCAATAAAGTGAACAAGATTGCAACATATATAGATAGGTTAATCTCAAACTAACGCACAGGTTTTGAATTGATATTCGTATTGCCTCTAAATGAGCAGGTGCAACTTGAGACAACGGAGCATAAAGATATTGGTGAACTAAAAGTATCCCAAGCATAGTGAAATTCCAAGACAATTCACATAGGAAACCTTCAACCTTTCCTCGAGAATACACTGCTGCTCAATATCTGACGTGTTCATGTAAGCAGTATGTTCAGAAAGCAAACCAAGTTTAACGACCTCATTATCCTGACAAAAGTAAGAGAAAATTGAATTGGAATGGAGTTCCTTAATTAATGTTTTTCAGATAGGTGGTGAAATATGTACCTCCTCTTCCCTTGAGTGATCTGCTTCCTTTAAGTTCTGATAGCACATCACTTGCCCGTCAACTAAGAAGTCAGGGACTGTTGTTGATGTTTCATGTGCACATTCTTGTTCAATGAGACACTGATCTAAAGATACCGTGTTCTGAAAAGTTGATGCTTTACAGGGTTGGAAAACAGTGGGAAGCTGGTCAAATTTTAAGCACTCAACAGAGCCTTCAAAAATTGAAGAGGGCATATATTCCAGATCAGGACTACTTTTCATAAAGGGTTCCTCACAAAATGTCCAGTTTCTCCAATCAAGGAACACAGCATCATCCTGCATAGCAGAATTTTAAGATTCATCTTAGGTGAGAAAGATAGGTACAAACAATAAAACCCAAGAACAGCTAATGCCATATCTACCCTATATTGTTATACAATGTGCTCATGGATAATCCAAAAGAACCGTACCTGAGTCCTTTCAAACACGTGAATTGGGCCACAAGTATTCTCTTTATCCTTACTTCCAATGAAGCTTGAATCACCATCAACTTCAATTGCCTCCCGATTTTTCTTGCTTGCTTTACAATATGAGAAAAATGGATGTATTTGCTTCCCTGAGAATATCCGTGACGTTTCCTGATCAAACATAAAAAGGAAGAAACTTAGAGCGACAAACCAAACACCAAAGCTGGCACAAAAAAGGAGCTAATAAGTGTTTTTTTCCAGTCACAGGCATAGCTAATAAGCCCAATTTACAATGGTACAATCCAACCACTAAAACAACAAAGATTATAAATTTAAGGAATTAGTTGGGGTTTGATGCTGATTTGAGTTGAATGGAGAAAATTTAATCAGGAAGAGCATGAAGTAAATTGTAACTGGCAGAAACAGCAGAGTAGTTACGAAAACTAAATAGTACTAGAAAAGAGACTCATTAAAAACAAAGAAAAAGAAAACAGAATGACTGACCTCGGCTTTCAATCTAGCCTCCAACCTCAAATCAGGGATTATTACTGGAGCTGCAGTTTCACTCTCTACCTCAGTTGCATTCTTCTTCGGTGTACTATTCGCCGAACGCTTACCGTTCTAAAATTAAAAACAATATCGCCAACAATTTGATTCATTAAAAGAACTATTAACCTCAAACTCAATCAAGCAAGGCAAATAATGTACCATACGAATCAGAATAAAGTTCAACAAGAACCAAAAATTGCACATAATTCACCTTCTTAGGAGCTTTAATTGGAGGCGTTTTCTTTGCCTTTGACTTCCTCTTCCTCTTGCTTTGACTCCCACAAAAATCCTCGTCCTCGCCGTCATCGTCTTCACCATTACCTCTCTCGGCCTTCAGATCGCCGTCTTCCTCGAGCTGTTGTTGGGGTTTGAGAGGGAACAATGTGGACTGAACCAATCTCCGGCGAACGACTCGCCGTGTCGGCGTCGAAGGCGGGGCGTTCTGAGCTGAATTGTCCATGGAATTGGAGTGGATTGGGAATTTGGGATGGTGGGTGAATTGGGGTTTTGTTGGGGGTTTTTAGGGATTTTGGAGAAGACTGGTAAGAGTTTATGTGTGTAACGGAAACGTGATCTTACAGTGACGGAAAAAAGGAAAGGCAAAAACAAAACAAAAAATTATGGAGGGAAAAAGGAGGTTGTTCCCGCCTTTAGAGGAGGGATTTGGGTTATCACGCGTAGATATTTGATATTTAATTTTCATTCAAATTACACATTAAATTGTTGTTACATTTTTTTTTTATCGAATTAAATTGTTGGTAATTAATTCTCATTAAAGAGTAAAAAGATTGTGGTTATTGTCTATGTTGGTTAGGCAAGTTGACCATGATAATGAATGGGTCTCCTTGAACTAAAGTTCGAATCTCTTTGTTAACGGATTTAATTTAGTAAAAAATGGTATTGATTTACAAACTAGTGGTCTCATGTTCGAACCCCCATGGCACCGTGGTAGCGTGTCTGTTTGAGAAACTCTCATTCCCTTCTAATTTAGACTATCGTTTGTACTAAAAAAAGAAAGTTATAATCTCTTCTTTTAAAAAAAAATATTATATTAATTAATATAATCTAAACTATCGCTTGTAATAATCTACAGTATAATATGACTTTTAATTTCTAAGTAGTGACCTTTTTTGTGTGGAAAACGAAGTAGTGACCTTCAGATTAAGGTCAAGTCATGTAGTATTTTTATCTATAACTAGATGCCCTTAATGTATAATTGGGAGGGAGCCATTACATTGTAATTTTTTTTAAATTCTTGCCATTAGATTTCAAAATGTACTTTGGCCACTACATGACTCGTTTTCAATTGATCCAATTAGAAGATTGTTGGAACAAATGATTACTTAATAGTATATAATATGTAAATTGTTATTTTTTCTAAATTAGTAAAGACAATGAAGTATATGAACCATTTTCAATTATTGGCAATGAATATTGGTATTTATTACTTCCATAATTATTTGTAGTTTATTCAAATTGTACCCCGTTTCAAATGTTCAAAAATGCATTTTCTTTTGGTATGGTATTTCAAAATTGCATACTTTTTAACGGTGTCTTTTTAGTTTGTAATTGAAACAATCGTCTATACCGTCATAAAATAAGAGCACCTGGCTTTGTCTATTTACAAAGACTTCATTCTAAGACAAATTAGAAACCGTTTCGACATCCAATTGTATTCTATAAAATTAATGAACACGGTGCTTCAAGAAAGTAATAAAATTTATACAACACAATTGAGTGGTCAAATGATATCGGATTCAAGTGATTTTTTGTATATATGATATTTGAATGATTATCTTAAACATAGACGGTTTAGATTAGTGAAATACAATGTGGTGTGGCCCCTACAAGGGTGTCCCTCAAATAAGCTAATTTGAGAAATCCCTCAATGGAAGCTCTTTATATGTGTGTGTGTGTGTGTATATATATATTATTGCACCATAAACCCTAAACTTTCAACATTTATCACCGTAATGGTATACATTTTCAATGCATGTTTGTACTTTATTATTATTACTACCGTTTCGACATTTTCAATACCCTAAACCTTTACGCGCCTATAAGAGGCTTTTTAAAAAATACAATAAATAAATTTTGAATTAAAAAAGATAATGGGTAGTTGTGTTCCATAAAAATAGGATTCATCATCTAATTTTTCTTTTAATTTTAATTTTTTTAATATAAAAAGTGTGAATTTACCATAGTATCATTATTTAATTGATAATTTCAATTTTTAATGTTTGCATTAACCAATGGAATTTTATGGTATTTTGAATTTTTTACCATTGTATGACTTTTGCTTTATATATATATAGATTAATTTTTAAAGACGGCTATTGTTTTTATATATATATATGTGCAAAAAGACGACTCACGGAATGTTCACTCAAACTCGAATACTCTACTTTATTATTTTTAAAATAGAGTATTCCACCATTAATATTTTATCGCATGGTGTTCATGAATTTATAAGTTGTGAGATTGCTACTCCGATGATAATAAGCAAAAACTACTAACATTGCACCACATATATACCAGCTACAAAAAAATATTAGATATGATGAAACATTTTATACTTAACCATAGAAGATTAACCAAACTGTGTAGATTTGAAATTTCAAAATTTATTTTTCGTTTTTGGGTAAATTAATTTCAAATTGAATTGATGCTTTCATTGATGATTCCATAAGACCATCTCCAACCCAAAGGGTGGAAACTCAAATTTTGAGTTTAGCCTCCAAAAAACTTCTCCAACCCATGTATTTTGGAAGGTGAAAATTTGAGATGACTCAAAACTGGACTGAAATTCCAGTCAGAATTTTGCCTGGACTGATAAACTCGTGGGGCCCAAATATGCTTTAATATATAATTTTTTATTGGATGCAAGGAGCAACCCATGTGCTTGACTATGTCGCCGGCCCACTTTGACAAGTGGGAATGAAGATTCCCTTTCCGTTTTTGAGAAGCAACGGCTACTTTTCAAATGTTTTGTTATGCTGTTTTAAAATAAAAAAAATTCCAATAGCTATAAAATCAACGATTCTGACTCATTTTAGGCAATTTCAACGGTAAAATTTCACATCTAACGGCTCAAATTTAAATCCAACGGTCAAATTAATCTTTATAATTAATCTAAGTCAGATCCAACCCCAAAACTTATTCCAAACTCTATAAATAGCCATTCATTTGGTAAATAATCCACCAAAAATTATTTATTTTCTTTTCTCCCTTTGTTATAATTTTTCATTCTACATTCATTCTTGTTGAGAATGGCCCTAAAACCCCAAAGAGGTGTGAATTAGAAACCACAAGAAGATAAGGCATTGTGTAGAGGGTGGGTTTCTGTCTCTGAAGATGGGGCTATTGGCACGAATCAATCAAATGATTCATTTTGGTTGCGTGTGTACCAAATTTTTTTGGAAAATGATCCGGGCATGAGTGGAGCCGGGGTGCGATCATCGCAAGTTATTGCTTCTTGGTTCAAGATCATCAACCAACAATGTTCTCTTTGGAAGGCATGTATAACAAAGGCCAATGCATGGCATGTGAGTGGCTCCAATCTTGATGAAGATGTGGTGAGTACCCATTTTTTTCAATGCTTAAATTTATAATTTTAATTGTTTTCAATTATTAACTTGATTTTTATTTTATTTCATGGGTATGATATAAATGCAAAAACAATTTTCTTGAATGATAATAAACCTTCAAATAGGCCTTTCAAGTTGTATCATGCTTGACAAATCTTAAAAGATTGCCCAAAATGGAACGATCTATGTGAATCTCCCACACAATCATTCAAAGATTCTTCTCATAGTGGCAATACTTTCAATTGGGAGGAAGATGAAGATGATGTGGTCATGCTCACTCCAAGGCCATTGAGAAGAGATAAACATAAGGATGAAAAAAGGAAAGGGAAAAGTGTTAAAAGTTATCTCAACCAAAGTGGTAAGTTCTTGTCTAAATTGGTTCAACAAGGAAATGAGGCAAAAGAGGATAGGCGGCGAAAGTTAGAGCTCCTACAAGAGCAACATTCATATCAAATCCAACAAGATAAGGAGGCCAATGAACAAAGGATAATGTCCATGGACCTATCCAAATTTACTTTAAGAAAAAAGAAGTATTGGGGGAATAAGCAAGACGAAATTATTGAGGCCCAGATGAATACAAGTTCCCCCTACAATCCAGAAGACAACTCTGAAAACTATTATCCAAGACCTCTACATAGTGGTTATTAATTTACGTTTATTTGTAATTGTTGTTTATCTTTATTTATAATTGTCGTTTATCTTTATTTCTAATTGTTGTTTAGCTTTATTTATAATTATCGTTTATATTTATTTGTAATTGTTGTTTATCTTTATTTATAATTATCGTTTATCTTTTTTTTATGATTGTCGTTTATTTTTCTATAATTAGTTTTTTTTTTAAAAAAAAAATCAATGATAAACCATATAATTCATTAAAATCACACAATCACTTTTATAATTTAAACACACAACATAATTTAAACATGCTTAGATAATTTAAACACACATACATAATTTAAACACAAAACATAATTTAAACACACTTACATAATTTAAATACACAACATAATTTAAACACACATACATAATTTAAACACACAACATAATTTAAACACACAACATAGCTTATTGACCCCCTCATTCGCATCTCCAAATGTGGTTGATCAAATCATTTATTAGATTGTGATGCACTTGTGAAACACGAACTCTATTATGATAGACCATGTAGTCTGAGATAGTTTGTCTATCTCAGTTTATATCGTACGTGATAGTTGGTTCAAGCTCATGAGCAAGTCTTGCTTATGCTCTTCTAGATGTTCGTGGACAATTATCTTCATCATCAGATTCTGTATCTAGATCATTATACTCATCTTCAACAATTATGTTGTGCAATATTATGCACGTCATCATGATTGAATGAAGTTGTTCTTTGCGCCACATACGTGCAGGTCCCCTAACAATTGCCCATTGAGCCTGAAGTATTCCGAAGGCTTTTTCGACATCCTTCCTATAAGACTCTTATTTTTGGGCAAATAGTCTTTTTTTTTTTGGAGTATCCGGTTGGGAAATCGTCTTAACCAATGTACCTCAACGAGGATAGATACCATCAGCCAAGTAATAACTCATGTTATATTCATTTTCATTGACAACATATTGGATATGGGGAGACACTCCATTCACTACATCATTGAACAACGGGGAACGAGTTAGAAAGTTGATATCGTTGTTTGATCCGGCAACGTCAAAAAAGGCATGCCATATCCAAGTGTCATACGAGGCCACTGCTTGTAGAACGACAGTTGGCTTATACTTGTAGCAGGTAAATTGGCATGCCGAAGCAGTTGGGCAGTTCTTCCATTCTCAATGCATGCAATCAAGACTGCCTAACATGCCTGGGAATCCTCTGCGACTAGCCTTGTGCAAGACCTTGTAAAGGTCGGCCGGATTTGGGGAACGGAGGTACCACTGACCATACACGACTTCAATAATAAAACAAAACTTTCGCAAACATTCAAGGGTTGTAGATTAACCCAATCTACAGTACTCGTCGGTGGA